TTAATATATGTGGTTTGATCTTATTGATGGAAACCCTAATTATATTTCACCCTAGTAATTAAAGCCTATAGGGTTAATAGGAAGCTGGATTATATGTTTTTTTTTTCTTCAATGCAAGAATTTCAATAGGTAACAAACCAGTAGTTTGATATTTAATAAGATATACAACACTCGATTGACTAATAATAATTCAATAAGAATTGCACGAATATTCTATATATCGTTGAAAACAAGATTATTTAGGAGAACATTTTCTTCTAATCAATTGAGGCGAACGCATGTTTGCTCGAATTTTTATCGAGCTTTTAGAGTTGTGTTTGAGCTTGGTTTGATAAGCAATTGAGTGCTCAAATGAGTTTTAATCGAGCTTGATCGTTTGTATATATATCTTTATTTTATTATTACTTTTTGTAATCGAGCTTGGACCAAGCTTCACTACCTTAACTATACAAAAAATATACGTTGAATCTTAGTTTAACAAACTGAGCTCAAACACAACTCTAAATGCGAAGCGTTACATGATCGGAATTAATGGTTGTTTCATGTTAACATCTTTAATTAGACATGTGGTATATAAACTGAAATAATTAATACTGCAATAAAGAGAAAACAAAATGACATTAATTATAAAACCATTCCAATATATATAGCCTCTTATGCATTTTAATTCATAAGATTAATCGAAGAAATGGAACGTAAGCTAGCTTTCATAGTTGTCCTCGTCCTCGTCTTCGCTTCAACTGGTTAGCTCAAATTACAATTCCCTCCACCACTTTATATAATTTTTATTATATGCAATATGCACTGTTTTATTTCATGCTAAATTATATCTAATCATGTACATTATATATAAAAACATGTATATATATAAATTCGGAGACGCGCACACGCATGATTCCATGTAAATCTATATTCGAGGTTTTGCCGGCATATCTTTTAACTCAACATATTACAAGCTAGACCGACCTCGATCGGTCAACGAATAAGCTAAATAACTTGTAATGAATTTATACATATGAAGATATAATAAAATTTAATATGATGAAATTATATATCTCCTAATAAATAAATTAATTATTATAATTGCAGAGAAAGTAAAATCTAGGGAGGCACCAAGTCCAGTTACTGGAGATGATTATGAAGATCCATGGAACCAATTTTGTGAGAGTCTTAAATGCGAGACAAATGCAAACTGTAAGATGTGCTCTGGACGTTGTGTCAACTCACACTGCAGCGGCTGATTATAATAACATAATTTATTAAGAGTTTAAACTTAAGAGTGTCACGTGTCAAAAAATTAGTGGAATCCGATTTATATTAAATATCGGATGATCCGCTCATAATTTAATCACATATATGAATGTAACACATTGTTTGCACTTTGCATATGGTAAGACTAAATAAAATAATTATTTATTTCCTAGTTGATTTGCTTATAACTTTTTCCTTTTTTTTTTTTTGGTAACGTTCCTCTTTAAACAAACATGTAATTGTATTCCTTTTTCATGAATTTTAATTAAGTTTGAATACAAAGTTTGCACCTTTGTTCTACAGACATTGTTGTATTTACCCCCTAAACTATCAAATGCGACAATGCAACCCCTGACTCTATCAGTCAATTAGAGCTTTAACGCCGCTAAGTAGCATGGTGCATTTACGTTTCTACCCTTAAGTTTTCACCCTTGCCACTGTAAGCCATGAAGAAGTAAAGAAGAATTGATTTGGGATCCAAAGCAGCACAATGGGGCTGCAAAGTTCGTACTTTTTTAGGACAATTTCGAATAAATATATTATAGGGATGCAATAAATTATATTTAAAATTTCCGAACCGAGAATTAAAAATTCTGTTTTATAAGGTTTTTGTTAAGAATACTTGGAGATCACCATAATACTTACTGATGATCCCATTATCGTCTTCTAACTCATGATCTTTGAGAAGTCTTTCTAGTGCCATATAAAGAGCACCAAGTAATGTGTTTGTACACAAGAAAAACAAGAGAATAATATACTTATTTCTCTCTATATTGCTATCTCAATCATGACTTTGCTTTGTTCTTAATTTATCGGTTTCTCAACACTTAATTAGCACTAATGTTCTATTATAATTTTCAGCCATAGAAGATGAAAAGCGTTGGCGTTAAATATTTTATTATATTGAATTGATGAAAATTTAAAAATCTTATTTTTTTTAGGTGAATTTTTGCACAATTTACATTCAAATTCATTTCAAAATAAAGATATGAATGACTTTACTAACATATAAGGGGGTAATGAAGACTTTTCAGATAATATTTGTTATTTATATTTTATCAAATGGGTAAATTTGAATAAAGAAACTTTAAGGAGCTTTTAAGTCATTATGTACATTTGTTTTTATTTTGTTTTATGAGACACGTGGCAGGCACTGAGAGCTTATCTGGGGTGATATAGTTTTCGACTATCTCACCCAAGGTGATATAGTATAGAAGCCTTGTACTTTAAGGGTGCAACCTGCATTTAACCATTTTTATTTACGTGGTGGAGTGTGTTTATTTGTATTTCAGTAAAATATATTCATAAATGGGTAAAGGTGGACTTGAAAATACTACTCCCTCCATTTTCTTTTTAAGTGTTGTTTTAGCCGTAATTTTATTTTTCATATTAAGTATCACTTTAGAATTTAAAGATAAGACAATATTTTTTTGTTCAATTTTATTCTACAATTAATGAGAGATTAATGAACTAATAAAGAGAGATTTAAAGCCACATAAGGATTAGTTTTGTCAAATACGAATTATTTTCCCTAAAATCAAGAGTATTTATTAACTTTCTCAGTAAGTGTGCAGTAACCTTAAACGACACTTATTTTGAAACGATAGAAGTATTGAGTTAATTTCACATAACCCCTGTGCAATCTTGAATTGCTGAAAAACCCCTTGTGTTAAAAAAAATAGCAAGAACTCCCATATATTATATTTTACAAAGCCCACTCCTCTTTTTTCGTTTTTTCCTCTTCACTAAGATGCAATGACAAAATTACCCTAAATTCAAAATAAATAAAAATATATATTCAACCCAAAAAATTAAATATTGAATCCCTCAATAAAAAAAATTGAAAACAAAATCCCAAAAGAAAAAAAAAAAGAAAAAAAAAAAGGATACAGTTGCTTCATCTTCCCCGTCAAACCAACACACCACCCACTCCCTCCCCTCACCCCCACCCCCAAACTCGAACCCAAACAACTTTCTATCAAATTTCTCAAATGGTGCACCCACCGCCGCACACGTCGGAGAGCTACCGTCTACCAGAAATTTAAAAGGTCTGCAGCGGCGACGATGGTGGATATGGACGTCGTGAGGGAGGTGGTTATGGAGGCGGACGTGGTGGAGGCGGGTACGATGGTGACCGTGGCTCTCTTCCAATGATATTTTCCGGTGAGGAACACACCGGAGATGGTGTGAAGATGGTCGTCGGCTGGAGTGAGGTTTGTGGTTTGATTTGGGAAGATGGCCTTTTTGAAAATGGGAAGGATAAAATTGCAAATTTTGAAAACTTTATTTTGGGGCATATAGAATTTTGGGGTGAATTTGTAATTTTTGAAATTTATAATTTGAAGGGTGTTTTAGTTTTTTGGGGTCAAAAATACATTCTCAGTCGCCCATCCCAATCCACGCGTGCAACACAGGATAAGCTGTTAGGAACCTTATTGTCTTTGATTATTTTCATAGGGGTTCTTGCTAATTTTTCTAACAAGAGTTTTTTTTCAGCAATTCGAGATTATACAGGGGTGGTTTTTGCAAAAAACCCTAGAAGTATTTATGTGTGAAAAAAAAAATCAATTGTACTGAAATGCTAATTGCAGCGAGACTTTTACTGAAATTGACTTATTTGCAGCGGTACTTTTATTTCATCTTTTTCCAACTTTCTAAAAAACTCAAAACGCTCTCAACATAACAAAGTCGAGAAAAGAGAATTTGAAGTTTGTTTGATAAATAAACTGCCCGACAACAACAAATAAGATAATGGCCGATTCGAATGACTTCTACGAGGTAAAATCGAAGAAATATTTGGATTTTTTTTTACAGAGAAAAGAGAATTTGAAGTTTGTTTGATAAATAAACAGCACGACAACAACAAATAAGATAATGGTCGATTCGAATGACTTCTACGAGGTAAAATCGAAGAAATAGTGGGATTTTTTTTACATTACTATCGTGTTGTGTAGCACGAAAACCCAAATTTTTTTAGGTTCCCGTGCTACACCACACGGGAAAATTAAAAAAAATAAAAAAAAAAATTATAACTTGAAGTTCCCGTTCTGCAGAACACGGGAACTTGAAGAACTTCTTGTTTTTTGTGTCCTCCGTTCTGCAGAGCACGGGAACATGAAGATTATTCAAGATCCCGTGTTCTACAGAACAGGGTAATCATATTTAAAATTTTTTTTTTCAAAAATAAAAATTCAAATTTTTTTTGAGTTTCCTGTTCTTCGGAGCACGAACACTTGAAGAAACTTTAAGTTTCCGTGCAGAACGGGAAGTTCAAAAAACTTGAGTCCTCTGTTCTACAGAGAATGGAAATGTGAAGTTTCTTCAGGTTTTCGTGCTCTTTAGAACGGTGGCTTAAAAAAAAAATTATTTTTCAAAAATTGGCTAGATCTAATCCTAAACATGTGTTTTTACCTAAATTGTAGATAAAACTAATTAAAAGTAGTGGGATATTGAAAAATTACTGGAATCGAGCCTCGTTTGCTACGGATTCAAAGTCGAAATTTTTTCCGAAATTCGAATGTCTTGAGAGAGTTTGGAAGTAGAAGAGAAAATTTAAAAAAAAAATGAAAAAAGATTCCGCTACATTCAGTAAAAGACCCGCTGCAAATAGCAATACCCAATTTTGTATTGCAAAGAACGAGATTTGAGTATTTGGGAATTGAGTGTGTGAAGAAATATATTGGGCAAACCACCAGTGGAAAAAAACTCAATCCAAAACGCCCGCCAAAAAATTGCCAAAAAATTCGAAAATGGGAAGTGAAACCCCCAACTCAGATTCCGATTGGGATTATCCCCTCACCGATGAAGATCTCCGAGCAATTGACTCCGCATTTTCTTCCGCCGCCGCCACCTCCGCTCATCCTCCTAAGCGCCGCCACGACCGCGACCGTAGCGGTGCCTCCGCCGATTCCCCTCCTCAAATCCGCCGCCGATTGCCCGATTCTCTCTTTGTTTTCCAGCAGCAGAATAATCGGAATAATTCTGCTGCTGGAATAATTCTGGTGGAGCAAGGTGAGAATCTCACCTTGCTCCACCAGAAGCCGCTTCCATTCTAGCAGAAGTAATTCTCACCTTTCTTCTTTCCGAGGTAATTGCATCTTCATTTTTTCAATTCTTTGAATTCTAACTTGATTTTCTTACTGTTAGTAGATTCAATTTTTTCATGTTAGATAGAACATAATTGATTTCGGCATGTCAGTGCCTTTAGCGTTCTCTAGTGTTGTATCCTTCAATTTAGGGTAAATTACGGCCACCCTTGAGGTAAGGTCAAATTACGAAAAAAACCCCTCATGTTTAGGTAATTACAACCACCGCTGAACTATGAATTTTCTTACGCGTTCACCCTTGCGATGTCAAATTTAGTGGAATCTTATAAATTATGTGAAATGTTCTCCAATTTGTACCCATTTTGCCCTATTCGAGCTCCACATTGATAATCATAAAATGTGTCTCTTGGCCTGTAAATATCAGATTGTGGTGCATCAAAAACTGCATTTTTGCACAAAACGAGTACAAACTAGAGAACATTCCACGCTATCTAGAAAATTCTATTGAATTTGACACACAAGAGTTGACGTGTAAGAAGATTCATAGTTGAGGCCTGAGGGGTGGTTGTAATTACCCAAGCAAGAGAGGTTTATTCGTAATTTGATCTTACTGGTGTGGCCGTAATTTACCCTTCAATTTATACAGAATGCAGTGCGATTTTGTTAGTGTAGTGGTTATTTTTCAAGAATTAAATCGAATTTAATAATGAGGATATTCATTGCATCATTCTTCAATATGGTTACAATTCTTACCTTTTGCTTAAGAATTTGTGTATTTATCTTCGTATAAGCCAGATGTATGAATGACAAATTTAATGCTATTCTATTAATATTTTTAATTTGTGTTCAGAAATAAATTTCGGAGGTCGCATTATATATAGTAGAACCGTAGAAGAGGTGGAAAGAGCTGCGAAGGAGCTTCTAGATTTTGTGGAAGCTAAGAAAAGAAACGAAGAACAGTGCATCCTTGGTCTGGATATCGAGTGGAGGCCCACATTTAGAAGAGGTAGCTTTCAGTCCATTCATATATACACTAGACCGACTAAAATAATAAAATACATGTTTGTAGTTACATAAGGCATCGACGGGAACATTAACTTACAGCAATCTGTTTCTCATTTCAAGACGTGCCTTAATGCACTGGACATTGTAATCACATGCAATAACTTACAAAACCAGGTGCTATCGAGAAAAAAAAAAACATTAGTGGGGAGTTGACCATGGTAATCACATATCTTCTTACAAGCTTTGTGAGTCGAATAATTTGACTAAACTTGTTTGACTTGAATTCCGAATCCCGTCTTGTTTATTTTTTTGTTGAAGTAAAGCAATTTGCATCGGCCTTAAGAGTATATTTTTACTTCATGCTGCACTAGATAGTTTTGGTTCGATATAGTTTTAGCATTATGATTCTGAGCGATTTTCTGGGCGATGCTAAAAAAAATATATCTATGTAGCATGTTTCACGACCTCCCTCCTCTTTACTCTAGTTTATGTTTACGGTTTCTGAAATTGTATTTGTGGAAGGATATGAATACAATATGGCTGTAGAGTATCCAAAATGTTAAACGAAAAAGCAAACAAACGATATGGTTTGTAGCCGTAGGTTATACTAGAGACTTTGACTATTTCTCCTTGTTCTCTATATATATTTATTCACATTCTCGAACTTAAGCTAATTTTCTAAAACTATCTATATTTGCAAAATTGACCTTCTAGTATTTAAATTTGAGTTGCTTCTGCAGAGCTCAAACCTAAAGTGGTTCTTGGGAGTATGTTTTATATGACATAATAATTACGTCATGAAAATTTGAAGTTTGAGTGAACTATAAAATTTGAAATTTTGACTAGCCTAGACGAATCATAATCCGAATTTCTAAATTAGACTTCTCTATGGTATCTAGAAAGTTATTATAGAATATTCATGGAAGTGCATTAATTCGTTCAACACATACATAGTTAATTGCCATGTAATATGCAAATTCTTTCATTTTTACTACCTGAATACGAGTTGTCAGTATATAAACAAAGGCACTTCTTGTATGACCAATTTAAACATTACTAGTTATACGTTTGTTATTATTTTATATTATTCCATTGTACAATGTACACACGCAAGTTACCATATCCAATCACGTAGCTGTTATTTGTGCATCAGAACTTCCAATTTGTGAACAATTCAAATTTTTGAGAAAGCGCAAAATTTAAGTTTATTTTCTGATAATTGTTACGGTTAATTCTGAAAATCAATGAATATTTCGATGGGCTTATTATCTGTAGATTTTTAGTTGGTTTTGCTAGTTAATAAGAAACCATTACTAATGTATGCAGGCGTTCCCCCTGGAAAGGCAGCAGTTTTGCAGATATGCGGGCACAATAATTGTTGCCATGTGATGCACATTATTCATTCCGGAATACCCGAAAAACTGCAAATTCTTCTCGAGGACCGCACTTCTCTAAAGGTGGTGCTCTACATATTTAAATGTCGAAAACAATTATCTGAAATTCGGTTCAAGACTTTTCATTTGCTTGACTCAGCAGCGGACTGATTTTTACGTACATGCGTAGGTGGGTGTGTGCATTGCAAATGATGCTTCTAAGGTTCTTCAAGATTATAATGTATCGGTTAGTGCTTTGGCAGAACTTTCTGATCTAGCCAATCAAAAGCTCGGTGGAGTTCCCAAGAAGTGGAGCCTATCGTCCTTAACCGAAACGCTCATTTGCAGACAGGTACTTGAAACGAACACTCAATGTGGAGAACTTTCATTGAAGATTTTATAAATTTTTATTATCGAGATTTCTCTGATTTTTTAGTTATTGAAGGTATTTATGCTTATTTCTCGACGATATGGCCTTGTGTGCTTAGGTTTATATGTCTGTGGATTGAGTAGCAACATTAAGTTATCTTTCACTTTATTTGAATTAAATGAAGGATGAGAGTTCGTTATTATAACGAAATTTAACTAATAGCTTGTGAAATACCCTCTCCTAGTTGATGGTTCATAATTTTAAGGGTAAATTACAACTCCCCCCGGGGGTAGGGTAAAATTAGGAAACCCCCCCCCCTTCCCCCCCCCCCCCCCCCTCCTGTTTGGGTAATAACAACAACCCCCACTCAACTGTAAATTTTCTTACACGTTCACTCTTACGGTTTCAAATTTAGTGGAATCTTCTTGATTATATGGAATATTATCACTTTTGTACCCGTTTTATCTCATTCGAGCTCCACATTTTGATGCAAGATGATCATAAGATGTGATTTTTGTCTTGTATATATCAAATTGCGGTGCATCAGAAACTGTATTTTTACACAAAACGAGTACAAACTAGAGCACATTCCACGGAATCTAGATTATTAAGTTGAATTTGACACAAGGGTGAAGGTGTAAGAAGATTCATAGTTGAGAAGGGTAGATGTAATTATCCAAACAGGAGGGTTTTTTCGTAATTTGACCATACCTCAGGGGTGGTTGTAATTTACCCTAATTTTAATGCATATTCATACCTTCTCTCGATTCTTAATGACAATACCATCAAATGCCGATTTACTTTATTCCTATGTGAACTAAGAAATCGATGATTCATTTGGGTTCTTTCGATATCGTATCAATCTACAACTATTGGCAATATAATGCTACACTATAACTTTCTGCACTATTTTACGTTGATGTTATGCTTCTTTACGTAAGCATTTTGGTATCTCCAATCTGATGCTGTCTTGCACAAAAAGCGTATTTCATTTCGAGAAAATTATGCTGTAAAAAGTAAACAAAGATTGACGATCATCAGTCATTTGAAGCACCTAATTGTCAAATTTTTCGGGATATTCTGCTGCAGCATGTTTTAATAGTTCCGATCGTCATTTTTTCTATCGACAAAGTGGCAATGCATGCGGTTTCTGAAAGAGGTAGTGAATTCTAACACGTGTAATTTTGACTCTTGTAGCTGCCGAAACCAAGCAAAATCCGACTAGGCAATTGGGAAGTTGATGTTCTATCAAAGGAACAATTAAAATACGCTGCCACCGATGCATATATCTCTTGGTATCTATATCAAGTATGTAATTTTTCTTTCATGTCATATTTATAATATGTTCTTTTTATTTTTTTGTTTATTTATTTCTATTTCGAATTGTTTCCGAAAGCTTTTCGTCGACTGCAGGTGCTGAAAACCTATCCAGATTCTGCTGGTAATACAAGTGCGGAAACGGTGTCAACCTAAATGACTCGATCATCGATTCTTTACTTGCTCGGGTTAGCACTCTTCAGTTTTTTTTTACCTCTAATAATTGTTGCCTTTTTAATGATTCTTATTAAATTATTTAGTTTTTAGCTTCATTGCAAAAAAAAAAAAAAAAAAAAAGAAAAGTCATGGTAAATTTTTAAAATATATTTCCAGGGCATGCCCATCATTCTATTAATGATGAACAATTGAAAACTATCCTGACACAATTGTTTGTCTGTATTCCACATACATGAATTTAAAACATTGACCAAATCCATGTAATTATTACAGCATGGTGGTGATAGCGGCATTTTACGTTTAAAATTTTTATCGAGCTATCAGAGTTGTGTTTGAGCTTGGTTTGATAAGCGATAGAGTAGAGCTCGAATGAGTTTTAATCAAGCCGAACACGAATCGAGTTTGAGTAGCTTGATTGTTTTTGGATATATCTTTATTTTATTATTATTTTTTTCTAATCGAGCTAGATCCGAGCTTCATTACTTTAGCAAACAAAGAATACATGTTGAAGCTTTGTTTAACAAACTGAGCTCAAACAAGCTTTTAAAATAAAAATCTCAAATTAAGTATCAAGTAATTTGATTTGATTTTCACGCGTACCATTATAGCTTACCCTTGTTTTTCCATCTCTTGGTTCTAGGATGTTTAATAATTGTTTTAGATATAGGAAAAAAAGAAATATATCTATTTATCTATATATACATACATATAGATATAGATTTAATAATTGGTTTGAATGAGAGCAGTGTGTTGTGGTTTCTGCGGTTCCTAGGATTAGTGTATGGGGCTGAATCTAGTTACACGTGAGTTGCACTTTCCAATGTACTAGGTTTGTTATTAATCAATATGGCTATCTCCCTTTATTACAAAAATCTGTTACATTGTACTTGGATAACATATAGTTGAATTTGGAGACATGATTTTAAACAATTTTATATGCCTATATTTAAAATCCTCTACAATATACTATTAGTTTTTTTTTTGAGAGAAAACAATATACTATTAGTTACACTAGTAGAAAAATGACTTTTCACTACGATCATTAACCGTAGTAAAAAGTACTAAATTCGTTGTAAAAAGGCTTTTGCTATGAATTTTCGCTACAACAAATACTTTTTTTGCTACTGTAAATCCTAACATCTACTATAATTTGTAGATTATCGCGTAAAAGATATCTTTTGTAACGGTTTATTTACTGTAGTAAAAAAATCGTAGTAAAAAGTCATTCTTCTACTAGTGATACTAAGAGAATATGGTTAAAATAGATTTTTGCAAACAAATTCAATGAATTTGTCACCAAATTTTTAAAATTCATAACTTCATATGTTCAATCAAGATGTAGTCTTATGTTTCGTTTACACTTATTTAGATTTGAAGGAAGAAATTGAAAAATAAATTTGAACAAAATTTCACAACCAAGTGTACAGGGAACTTCAAACTTTCTATAATGGATTTTTTCTTTTTCTTTTTTTTCAACCTAATTTTGATTCCCTATAGTCAATTCTATCTTTTCATTCATTTAAGAAAAAAAAAAAAAACCATCTTTCCATTAGATAACTAATACCCACCGACATATAATAAACGCTGTATTGAAGAGCATGACCCACAATCATTTTCGATTTATAACAACCTACTTTTTCTTTTCTTGATTATATAATATTGCAATATACTTGATTCTAGAAATAAAGTGACGTTTATTGTATCTTGAGAATACATTTGTTACTGTAACAATCAATCAAATGAGAGAGAAACTTGAAAACTATTTCCTCACAAGTTCTTTAAGTTCAATTTGAGAAGGGTTAACAAATATAACTTATTTTAGAAAGAGGGGATGCATGATTTTTAAAATGGGCCAAACACTTAGTAATTTATAATAGGGTAAATTACACCCACACCCTTGAGGTATGTAAAAATAACTTTAAGATCCCTGTGGTATCGATAATTACACTCATCCCCTTAAAACATAGTTAGAAACTCTAATGGGATAATGCATTTGATACGTTATTCCGATAGAGACTATTAGTTTCCAGAAGTGGTGAAGACAATAAAGAGCTATGCGTGATTTAAGAAATGTTGGAGGAGCCATGTCACCTCATAACTCTATGTTATATCCACCACTAGCTAAAAGTAATAGTCCGTTAGAACTCTATCAGAATAACGTTTCCAATGAATTATCACATTAAAGTTTCTAACTATGTTTCAGGAAGTAAGTGTAATTATTGATATCACACTTAAAGTTATTTAAGCATTCATCAGAGGTGTGGTTGTAATTTACCTTTTATAATATAATAAAAGAATAAAGACCATTGGCTTTCAACAAGAAAATAGTAATTCCCAAAATATCATTTATCTTGCATACTATACTATGAATGTAACCTATAACTTATTGATAGACAACACAAAGTCACAAACAAACATATAAGTAGTCATTAAATGAGTGATAATGGCTTCCCAACTTCACCAATAGTATTATGATATTCTTTTTAGAAGAATAGTCCATTGTATTGTAGGGCATGTGCCGTATGACCAATTGCCTTATATATTTGTTGGGACTAAATTAGAAGGTGACATTGGAAAGTTGAAAGGAAGTTCAACGACTATTAAGCCTTTGGCATGTGAGTGGGGGCCTTTTGGCATAATATGATAGCACTCTATTATTCAATCAATTTGTCTAAATAGTGTGTGGACATATTAAGGTGCCCATGTGAGGGGGTTGGATTTTTCTTTTTCTTTTTTAACTTTTTTAAATAAAATAAAAACCGACCTTATAAATTCGCCTACGACGGAACCCAACAGTAGTAGAGCATGTTACCTAACACTACCATCCCCACCCTGATACTACTCGAGCAATGCCTTTGCGAGTGTGTGTGTGTGGGGGGGAGGGGTACCATTTGGAAAATGGACAGAAGATTATGCCGTTTCCAATCCAAATAACTTGATTATGAATGATGGGATTTGTACCTTAGTCTTTTGCGGAAGAAATTCTATACCATTAATAGTACCGACTTTTTGTTTGTAGTGGTGTGAATGGAACGCATTTTTACTTGCTCCAATCCAATTGTAAAATTATATACTATACCATTGTTTATTTGTTTTTGTTTTTTTAATTATTAATTCATTTGTCTATAAAAATCTACTTTGACCTCGTTTGGTTGCCAAGTTAAGATTAAATAATGGGTGTTGCTATTTGCAGCGGGACTTTTACTGAGTACAGCGGAATCTTTTTCATTTTTTTTTTTTGAAATTTTCTCTTCTACTCTCAAACTCTCTCAAGACATTCGAATTTCGGAAAATATTTCGAGTTTCAATCCGTAGCAAACGAAGCTCGATTCCGGTAAAAAACGCATGTTTAGGATTAGATCTAGGTAAATTTCGAAAAAAAAATTATTTCGAACTTCCCGTTCTCTAGGACACGAAAACTTGAAGATTCTTCAAGTGTTCGTGCCCTAGAGAACGTGAAGTTCAATTTTTTTTTCTTTTTTTTTTAAATTGTTGGGTTTCGTCCTTTACAGAACGGGGAGTTCAAATTTTTTGAAGCTCCCGTTCTGCAGAGCATGAAAACTTGAAGATCTTCAAGGAATCGTGCTCTGCAAACGGAAGCTTCAAAAATTTTGGTTTTCTTTTTTTTTTTTTTTTTTTTTTTTTAATATCGAATTTTTAAATTATTTGACGAAGATCATACACATATTGGGATTATTTTACTCGTTTGTATATTCATCGTCAAATTCTTTGTTAGAATCACCATCGTCATCCTACCAAATTATAAAAATTAATAATTAGGCCCCGTTTGGTTGCCAAGATAAGCCATGATTAACTAAATAGTTGGACTTAATTTGATGTTTGGTATCCTCAATAAATTGCCGGGTCGACCCGCCAAAATTATATAATCATGGTTTATCTTGCCTTATCTTGGCTTATCTTGCCTTCTAATGAGTTTTTTTTGTTGGACGTTTCAAGCTCCAATAAAATAATTGGGCCTCATTAGATTATTTAATCTTATCTTGGCTAATTTTATCTTGCCAACCAAACGGGGCCTTAGTATATTAATAATACTAAGTGAAACAAAAAAAAAACACTAAAACCTAGATTAAACGTGGTGTACAACACATTTACTTAAATTTTTTATACTCTCCCCGTGTTGTACACCACGATTGCACCTTCATTTTTTTTTTCTTCGTTTTTACATCGTAAAAGTAATCCGAATCGGCCATCGAAAAAATTGTTGTTCAGTTTCGAATTTGTCGAATGACCTTTAGATTCTAAATTTTTGACTTTTTTTAGTTGAGAGAGTTTCGATTTTTTTAGAAAGTTAGAAAATCGACAAATGAGACTACCGCTGCAAATAAGTCAATTTCAGTAAGTCCCGCTGCAATTAGCATTTCGGTTAAATAATTTAATGAAACCGAATATATTATTGAACCTTCGATGATCCAATAAAAAACGCGCCTAAAGGTAAGATAAACCATGATAACATAAGCGGGTCGATCCGGCAAGTTATTGGAGATACCAAACATCGAATAAAGTCCTATTATTTAGTTAATCATGACTAATCTTCCCAACCAAACAAGACTTTTATGTGTTAAATAGATTCACAATTAAGATATTAATGATGTTACAACATGATTTTTGTGTGGATAAATAATTATTTTCTAAAAAAAATTGAAAAAACTGTGAAATATTAGTTTAAAAATCCGTGGTTAATGTGCAATATTGATGAAGTTAGAGCATAATGCATGAAATTGATGAAAATTATATTATAAGGGGTATTTTATAAAAAAAAAAAAAAACATGGGGATGAATTTATTTGCAAATTTGTTCTTTGCGTGGACATATAGGGGTGGTGAACGAGTTGGGCCGCTCGTGAGCTCAATGAGCCGGTTCGAAAAAAACTCGAATTTTTTGATGAGCTCGAACTTGCTTTTAGTTGTTTGTGAGCTCGCGAGCCGGCTCGCGAGCCTTATTTTTATTTTTTTCTATATATTATATATTATTTAAATAATGTATAATAATATAAAATATTACAGAAATAATATAAAAAGAACATATAAATATTCAAAAATATATATAATTACAATTTATTGTTTATTTTGAATTGTTA